CACTATTCAAGCAGAATAAACAACACCCACAGCAAAAACCCATCAACAAAAATGGCAGCATATACAACTCCCATCGCTCAAAAATACTTGATTTTCTTACAACAATACTTGATATTCTTAAACAAACTGTGCTGGCCGCTGTTTACGTCAGGTTTGCCAGCAGGGCTGCTATTAAGTCAAAAAGTAACACAGCTGGAAGACCGATCTGTGAAGATTTATATTCTCTACACCTCAAGAGTGGCAGTATAATGCTTCTTACAGTTCGAGAAGAATTTAATCAATGTAGGTGTTTCTATAAACAGTGTGTTATTTAAATGCATAATGCTAGGAGTGTTTTATGGTCCGGTTATGCCTAAATGGACCAATTTATTTTAAACACAGAAATGTACCGCTGGACATTAATAACACTAAGTAGTGGGAAGCTGCTACGAAGAGCTATTGTCTCCGCAGAAAAAGAGAGGCAAAACACAGCCAATATCTTTTACATACACATGATGTAAATCCTGACAAACTGTGGAGCCTGCGTCAGCTATTTGGATAACACTCATCTGCACCGTTTGGGACAACTACTGATATTCCACTATACCTACCTCAGCTGCATACCAGTAATACTTTATTCAATTATAATATTAATGCAATCACATAAACCTTCTGCCATCCAAATTCATTCTGCTGTCCACGTTACAGCTTTTACAGTCATTGCTCTACATGAAAAATTACAGGTTAATTAGCGGAGACAAAAAAGTTTCCTGAGCCTTGGCAGTAACACTTCTCTGGTTTAGGTTTAAGTGTCATCCACTGGATGTCTCACAAAACCACCAAGACTAACAAGCTCACACTGAATCATTTTTCTAATAGGGAATTGCCAAGTTTGCATCTCGGCTCATTTAATTTGCTAATGAACCCCAATCTCCCCTCAAAAGGGGAAATATCTTTTTCAAAGGACACAACCAGGCTTAGCAGCGTGGGCATGGTAAAAGCATAACAAAACCCAAACCATCCCTAACTTTATTATAAGAATCAAGCCTAGAATTTTCGATTTTAAACATTCACAAACTGTTAAGAATTTTTACCTTCATATTACATTACCAAAGTAGAGGCAAGAGCGTTATTAGAACTTCTGGTCTACCTCTGCTCCAGATGTGTTACTGAATGTGTGCCACATGAACAAAACCCCACGGCCACAATTCTTCCCCCTCTCCAGATCCTTCATTCACCTCGACCCAAACACCAGAAAGCCCAGCTCATACCTCTTGCTGGCACTTCTACATTCTCTAGTATCATTTTATTTGGTGCTTAAACAAGCAAGAGGCACTTTAACACAGAGAATAAGACACATTCTAGTACTAAACAAACTAGATCCTGTTTCACTTGGATCTGATCGCATTGCAATGTCCAACATCCTCATCTGCTTTATTACAAAATTACGTTTCATTCTTTAAATCGAAGAGACAAACTCATGCCAAGTTTCCACTATGGAAAGACCGACAGCAAATAAAGCAGAAAAAAAGCAAAAAAAGAAAGAGTAAAAAATGCTGCGCTATTTACTAGCACTATATATTCTCTCATAGAAAAATTAAAAAAGATGATTTCCGAGATAGTCACAGTTCAAAAGTTATTCTGGCTCTCAAGCACAGTGGAAATGTCTGTTATTACGAATGATTGTTCATCTATAGTTCTTCAGCTACTTCCAAAGTTTTCCTGGAATAGTTTAACTGCAATCCATAAGTAATCTGTTAGCAATCGATTTATAAGTAAAATGTGTCGCAGCGCAATTTAGTATCTGCGGTTTCAGGCAATCACTTGAGCGCTTTCAAAATGTGTAACAGAATGTCATAGTGACATTTTTAATGCCGCCTGGATATATATATATATATATATTGAGTGCCCAGAAAAAAAGCCAAGCAAATGAAAGAACTTCAGCAAACAGAATTATAGCTCAATTGACTACAAAACAAAACTTCCCCTACAATGTAACATACTAGAATTTAAGAATGTTTTTCCTCTGAGGCTGAAAAGTTAAGAATTGATTTAAGCAAGAAGTTATTTGCTAGGCTATTGGAAGTTGTTTGCTCGAAATTTCGAAGACAATCCTGTCTAAAGCATCATATTTCAACATCCTATAGCACTTTTTACATTAAAAAGAAATAAAACCAAGCCAAAAACTGCTGAAGAGACAGACATATTTTTTTAAATTGGGAGAAGGGCTAGACCACTAGCACGGAAGCCTGTGGTTATAAGGCCCCAAACACCTAGAAAAGCTAAATTCTCCTACTAATCACTAATGCCATGCAAGAAAAAAATCAGAACCTTTTTATTGACTTAAAACATGTTTTCTTCTAAGTCATAACACAAGTTGCCAAGTGAAATATAGACTTCTTTAAAAATATGAATCAATGAAGCTTCTTCAAACTCAATGGTTTCCAAGCAGGACTATTGCATTTATGTTTAAGATTACAAAAAGAACTTGCTCCAGAGAGTTCTGCAGCGGGCTGATGAGCTTTACAGTTAAATTAATTTAACTGACTGTTAAGAGAACATAAATATGGAAATAGCAAGCTGAAAAACGGAGCTATAGGCAATTCACACGAAGGGCAAGCTGCTCAAAGACACTGCCTTGCAGCGTGTCCAAGAAACACACAGAGAACTGCTCGGTGCGGCAGCAAGAATTTCAGCATTATGCTACCGGGGAAGAAGGAGAATAAGGTGTTAAGGAAAAGTTAAGTTTTAGTCTGGTACAATCATCTTCATTAACATCAGATTTCTTGGAACGGAGGTTCGGGTTATTCCAATGCAGCACAACCTGCCGCAGAGCCAGCGCTGAGAGCGGCTGGGTTTCGCCAGATACTGCTGGGCGAACCCCACCGACAGCAACACGTTCCCAGTGCCAACCATCGCCTGCCCCCCGGCTCTCCGAGCGCTGCCTCCAGAAGGCAGAGCTGCTCAAGCACTTCTGCCGCATGCTCGGCTTTGAATACCCTTACACAGCCACAGCTGGAGAACAGGGTTTTTAAGAAGTCTGAAGTCTAGGGGGGGGTTAAAAGCAAAAACTCAACTTTCTAGTCACAGAGCTCTTTGAGCTTGTTCTGGAGCTCCCTCTTGAGGTTAGATACTACGCTATATTAAAGACATTGCAATATCCTCATAACCAATTCTACTCAAAATGAGACTATGTCCTTGCAAAAAGATATTAGCAAAAGCATCTCCTCAAATCTCTGTACAGTAGCTTTTAGAGAGCATTAGATGCTTTTGAGTTGCAATCTTAAAAAGACGGTGAGAAGATAAGCACATGTCAAACACAGGAAGATAAACTGAAGAGGCACTTTACTTGTACACCTTTGGGAGCCAGTGCAGACAGTAAAACCTCTGTCACTGTGAATCAGGAAACGGAACAGCGCACGCTGATGATGAGAAATTAACTGTGTTGTCTATTTGTACAGAAACAGCAACTTCACTTGGTTTATTTAAGGCTGTTAACACATCCCACTCTTTGAGTGGCCTTTTAAGCTACTCTAAGCATCCCCCCACCTCCTTGCTAGAGGTACCTTGTTCCGCAAAACCCGAGGGCATCACTCCATCGTCATTGTTGCCACAAGCTGATACGCGAGCTGACACCTCTGGGGTTTTATGTGCTGAATCAGCATTTGCTAAAGTCCGCAAAACTCTTTAAACAGGTTGTGCTGAATTTCACTCTTGAAAACAGTATCTTTCCACAAGCTCTAGAGGGCCCCCACATGGAAGAAGCCTTCAACACAGAAATGCCTGAGAAAAGGATTTTTTCAAGCTCCTGTTGAGAATTTTTTCCTCTCCCACGACAGCTAAAGGTTCAAAATCAGATGGCAAAGGAAGTCTTCAGAAGCAGGGCAAGAGCCAAAAGAACAAGCCCTGCCTATGATGGTCATATTTTAATACTGCTGAGCCCCGACTCAGCTCTTTCCTCAGTCGAACAAACATCCTTGCTGGCCAGCTGAGTCATCTCTGACTCCCTCTGCCTCAATACTGTCAAGACTACCCAGATCAATGGGAATGGATTTCTGTGAGTATCCACAATTGAGAAAAGATTTTTTTTCTTCTAGTCATACTATTCCAGGAAGGCTCTCCCATCTCTTTAATCAAAAAAACATTTTTAACCCTTTTCCAGGTCAGGCTGTGAGGTCTTCCACAGACTATCAGGGATCAAAGTCACATCATTTTAAATCTCACATCCTATGATGAAGCTTGTGGCTTTAGTAAGCTTTTCTATTTTACGGCGGAATGGATTTCAACTTGAATGTCTCAGAACAGCAACACACGGTTTATCCAGTTGTCCTCAGCGATTAAAGTAACACTAAAGAAACACCAAGTCTGGAGAGATGTTAACTCCTCCCACTGCGTGCCTTGCTGTGCTCGAAACATGCAAGATACTTGTCATTTCATAGCTGTAGCCCTTTGTTTGATGCATCAGTTCTGAAACAGACTTGCTGTTTCCAGATGCCAGGTTACAGCCAGATCACCTTCTAAAGCAGCACAAATTTTTCTATTAACCCTTCGCTAGAGTCTCCCTTCTCTACATTCTGTGAAAAAGACAAAGCAGACAAAAAAGAACCAACAAAAGATCCCATAATAGCTAGAATCCGATCTTATTTAATCAGCACAGAAGCTCATAGAAATTGTGCACAATTCATCAGCAATATCAAGAGCAAGACTAAAGAGAATGGCTTGAAACTTGGACCTAGAAAGGGTCTCTCTTCTCTACTGCCAGAGGGCACTGACCTAAGAGTTTTAGCTCGCTACGACCAAAAGACTTCATGATAAGCTACCAAAAATATCAAAGCAGGTGGGGAATACATATCATTGCCCACAGTACATCATTTTCTTGGGGACATGGTTCAGAAGTGGTTTTGTCAGGTTAGGTTAAGGGTTGGACTTGGTGATCTTAAAGGTCCCTTCCAACCTCAACAATTCTATGATTCTGTGATTTACAGTAAGTAATCTTCTAGAAGTTAAAGATGCTTTCTTACTTTTCATGGTGCCCTCCTCCTCTTCCTCTTCCGTGTTTATGACCATTGTACCCAACTGGGATTCCAAGGTGCCGTCATGTTCTATCATTGTGTTGGCTCCATCACTCATGGTGTTGATAGCTCTTATGGTACCAGTTTCATCTCCACTTGCCCTCACCATGGTACCTGAATCTGTTTCATCTTCTTCCTGTACAAAGATCCCATAAGTAGATTTTTAAGTCCCATGAAGAGTGTCAGTGTCCTTGAACGCAGACAAGTCTTACTAATTCAAAGCTTTTTACAAATACACACAGAAGCCAACAACATTTTCTTTTATGCGCTTAGTTCTCTCCCTGTCATCTCCGAGCAGGTAATGAAAAGTTCGTAATTTTCAGTCAGTTTGATAAATAAGAGAACAAATAAATAATCAGCAAATGTTTCTCAATGCAACTTGTATCTCATTTCTGACCTGGTGACCTGTCTGTAAGAGTAGAATACAATACTCAGTGTTTCTATTTATGTTGCTAGTTTTAACACTTGACCTAAAACCCTGTCTCACGTGGTACAGTTGACTGAGGAGTCATTAGTTACTAGACAGCAACAGGTCTAAGTCTGGAGTGCATGTGGCACACTGAAGAAAAATTACCACCCTATGCTTTAGGAGTTTGTCTTTACCATTTAGGTATTTTTACTTGCTGTAAACTTCAGAAGCACTGAAGAAAAATGAACTGAATTTGCAAATCTTTAAAGAGGAATGAAATTATCAAAGTCCAGTCATCATTTTCAGATTAAAATTATTTTTTGTCTTTCCATTTGTTAACAGGTACTAATATTATAGGAATTTGGATTATTGCTGTCAAGACTTAAGAGACTGACTCTGTGAGAAAACATAGGCTCCTGAAACAAATTCCGGTAGGAAAACTTCCTGGCAGATAGTTAGCCAGAGGCAGTAGTTTCATTAGGTGGTGTGGGCTACACCAAGTATATATTGTGACGAGGACTTCATGAAGAATGAGGTCAACGTTTCCACAATCTATTAAGTTTCTTGGAAACGTGGGACCACGTATCTAACTACAACATCAGAAGTCACTTCCTAGGTTTACAGTTGAGTTCCTAGACATCTCACCTTGGATGAGATGCTCATGTTTTGTTTGTAACATAACATAAATGAAGTTCATAGTTCTTTATGTGTGACCACGGGTTTACTGATCTGTATTAGTGCTAGAGCGAAAACACACATCTTGCACATCAAACTGCAATACCCCATCTCAAATATCATTGAAAGAAAGAAGTACACCCCTCCACCTTCTGGTGTTTCATACATTTTACCTGCTCTGTCAAGGGCATCTATATAATTTACTTCCCAACCTCAAAACCAATAGCAAGAGAAGGAGAAAACTACACGTGATGTTAACAGAGGAAAAGTAATTTTATGTGGATATGAGTGGGTGAGAGGAAGTAATAAATTTGTTAGCTACACATCATTTAACAAAGGACTACAGCAGAAATTTCCACAGCACTTGGGAAGTGCTTGGGAACACTTATCTGCTAGCGCACACAGAGTAGAGAAGATTCAAGAAAACACACACACACCAACAGAAACCACTCAACTTCATTACACAGACACTGTCTCTCAGTAGCGTGACTCCAGATCGGTCAGAAATGAAGGAGAGAAGGTAGCGACAATACTCGTAGAGCCAACATCACAGCAACGTGACCAATAAAGTTACTTCCAGACTGAACAAACAGGCAGTCCTAAACCGGAAAGCTAGACAAACAAAGTCTTCAGCATAGATACTGTGGACCATGCTGTTCAAGTCTAACCTCTGAAGAGGACTCCGGCATACAATGCCTTTTGCTGCCTGTTTCATTTATTCAGGTTGAAGCAGGCAGGCTCAAAAAAACCAGCCTTCAACATGCTTTCCATATTCACATGCTGTAACCACTGAAACAAGGAGCCCAAACTGGAATTCACAGCAATCCCCTGAACACTTGTCATGCCCTCACCTCGGGTTTCTGTCGGTTGCTCTTGTGTAGTAGAAAGTTTCTATAAGGGGGGTTCTAAAGCACAATAGTAAAACAACATAACATACTTATATCGCAGTGCATCACAGATGATATTATTATTTTATACTAGGAGAGCAGTCTAAGAACTGAATCGACAATGAAAAATTCTCATTACTGCATAAATAATATAAACCAACTGAGAAAACGAATCAAGTCTTTTGCACACACTACTTTGCAGGCTTATTCAATCACCAGTCTCTAGCTACGCTATAAGCTAAACAGTAAGCCATCCATGCTGGCTATCCCACTCAAATATAAAGATTGAGCAGAGACCAAGCATTAGGTTAAGAAATCCTAAAAGTACAAAACCCAAGAACTAAGTCAAATCCACAGGCAATTGGACAAAATATTGCAAAACCAAAACCCAAAGCAGCTAAGCCTTATGAAAAGAGCAAAAGTTTGGACTTTGTATATTGTTGCTATTAAATACTCACTGAATTTTCTTCATCATCTTGATCTAGTTCACGCTGTTGCGCCTCTTGACGTTTCAGCTTGATATCCATTGCTTCATTAATCAAGTCTCGCAGAATTGACACGCCTTTGGCACTTTTAACAAACGGGTGCTGAGAAGTATTTTAAAAACAAATAAGCACTGCATCCGAATCAGAATAACAGTAAAACACTGTTACTATGGCCTCCTTCCAATCAAAATTAAGGTTTAACTCAATACATTAGTAAAATAAAATCCAATACTTCTGTTTGGCCCAGGAGGGAGACCTTCCATCCTCCAAACATGGTCCAAAGGCACTACTGCTGTGAGACCTTGGGCTCATTCTCCTCCCACAACCCTACTAATTTCTTTCCTTAGCTTAGCTGTCAAGAACCAATTACACAGATCACCACCATGCCTAACCCATTCTGAGCACTCACTTTCATTTAGCCTTTCCTTTTTAGTGTTTTAAGAGGCAGTATCTTGGCAGTGCTGGTGAGAAACTGAAAGTAAAAAAAACTCCAAAACCAAACAAACAGGACAAAGACAGGAAGTTGGACTTCAGAAAAGAACCGAAAAGTTGAAGTTGAGTGTAAGATTTTTTAAAATGAGATATTAAAAAGTAAAATCTGTAGTGAGCAGGAGCAGCAAGAAATGAAAGCAACATCACAACTGACACGCAGCACTGCCTACCCTAGCAAGCCTTCGCTAGAGCTTACGTTCTTGTAAGAAAAGGCAGACCTGCAGAAGCTGTGTTGCAGTGGCACGCTGCTCTGGGCTCTTAACAAGACACTGTTTTACAAAGTCCGTAAAATTGTCTGACCAGAGCTCTGGTTTCCGGAATGTTGGAGGTGGATTGGTAGGAATCATGAAAATTGCCTGAAAACACAAGAATATTCCAGATTTCCAAACAAAGTTTAAAGCTTTCCAACAATACAACATAGATACACACTAACGTACACCACTACTAAAGAACGATAGATATTTCAGGTTTGCTGCTTCTGAAAAGTTTGTGCCAATATTATACACAAATTTGCTCAAGTAGCAAGAAATCCAAGTTTTCTCACCAGGTATTGACACTTCTGTCTGAGCCATTATATGCCCCAAAAGGTGTGAATCTGCCATTTTTAAGTCTTAAAAATTTGTGCTTGCATTAAAAAAATTGCTTTGGATAATACAGGTGAAAATATGTTTCTTCACACCCCTCACAGGGAGCTTCAGCTATGTCTTAACTAGATGAGGATTGCGATTTTCCTTCCCATGCAGATTCTCCTTCTCAAAGACCTGTATTTCATTTAATCAACAGTACAAAGAACTGACAGAAAACAAATCATTTACTCTAGGTTAAAAGCAAGATGGTATGTTGATATGATAGCAAATAGCAAATCCTTTCCATACAGCAATGCATTTTAAAAGGCCACAATCCTTACCCTCATAGGGTGAATATCTGCGTATGGTGGCTTGCCCTCAGCCATTTCTATTGCAGTGATTCCCAGGGACCAGATGTCTGCAACACAATTATACCCAATTTCTTGAATCACTTCTGGAGCCATCCAAAATGGGGTCCCTATAACTGTGTTCCGCTTTGCCATGGTGTCCTGAGAAGAAGAGCAGGATAAAAATCCGGACGATGGGAACTGCATTAGCCACAAACATTCATTAATGAATTATCACCCTAATTATTTTTCACTTGCACACACGCACATTATTAGATTCAGCAAGACTGGGATACGAAGGGCTGCAAAGAGGAATTGAAATGTGCTCACAGAAGTTACAAATATCATGAAGAAAACAGCAAACGCTACTGCAAACCATTACTTAGGCACAGCAGCTTCCACAGGGGAAGCTCTGCTTTAATGTGTTGCTGGTTTAGTAACTCATTATGCAGATGTACAGTGCTAAAAAGCAGTTTAGCACAATTTCTCAAAGTCTTCACAAGCACATCACACTCACATACAGGTTAAAAAGATAAACTGAAGTGTACATAACCATCTTGGGTTTACTTACTGTAAGTTGTCCTGCCACTCCAAAATCTGCAAGTTTCGCATGTCCCTCTGTATTGAGCAATATATTTCCAGCTTTGATGTCCCTGTGTATTTTCCTCATAAAATGCAGGTATTCTAGTCCTTTCAGTGTTGATTGTACTATTGTAGCAATTTCCTCTTCTGTGAGCTAAGGAAAAAAAAAAGAGTTACTGCCAACCTACCAGTTGCTGACATGTAACACTATTGTGTTTCAGGCTATGTTTTCCCGAGATTCACTAATTACCATGTAATTGCCTTCACTAAAGGTTGCAATATTAATGGGAAATTAGTTAGCAACTTACAGCATTATGTAGTAGAATTAGACTACAACCAGCATACATATACACAAGTACCATATTTTGCATACCAAAACCCTTTCTCAACGATTAATTCTTAACCTGCAATAACCAACGTAAGGCAAAGTAGAGTCCGTTATTCAGAATCAGTCTGGGTTTTCAGGAAAGCCAACAAACCAAAATCTGCTCCACCGATTACAGTATCCAGATAACCAAAACTCGACCAATGTCATCAGCTTCCCATTTTCAGAGGAACAAAGGACCTGAATCTCAAGTCATGGCCAATTGCGTCACATTGAACCCCGAGAGAATTACACCCAAACGCCAGCGCACAAACTACTCGGCCTCCTTGAGCTGCTGGACACCCATACTTCCCATTCAGACATTCAAAGGAGACATGACGTACAGTTTTATTTCGTAATCGAATAATATCAGACACAGATCCAGCGCCGCAGTATTCCATGACTATCCACAAGTCTGTGTTCTTAAAATAGCTGCCGTAGTATTTCACCACATGAGGACTATGAAATGTGGAAAAAGCAGAAGAAAACAAAGGGTCAAATACCAGTAACCAGCACAACTGAATGACAAAAAAACACTGTGGAGTCCCTAAGTATGTTTTAGAAATTCAGAGTTTAAGCGACACTAAAACCCTGATCAAAAGTATTCCAAAACAACCTGCACTTGCGCAGGGCCGCTGCAGTCCTGCCAAGCCTCTTCCTCACAGCGGTGCTCATCTGACCCGTCAGTAAGTCAGTTCAGAGAGCTAAACTGTCTGAAAAGAAATCTGATAGAAATAAGGAGCGATTAGCCTTCAGTCGGGTTTAGCTCCCTGAACCGCATTACAACAAGGTCAGTGCTATGGCAAGCAAGAAGGCAGGACACGGGAATGAGAAACAAACCACGGCAGTCCCTCGTAAAGCTGCTGCAGAGCATTTGCAACCAAATGGGAACATTAAATAAGGTCCAAAGTTTGCTGGAAAATAGCTATAATGTTCGTTAAGAGGAATGTTCCCATGCTGGCACATGCACCTACCTGTTTCTACAATTTAGTCCAGGATGTATTTTAGGAATTCAGTATAACCTAAGACTGTCTCACGGTCAGCTCTCTGGCTGCCCAAAACGCAAACAATCTAGTAAAGTATGTCGGTCAGAATAAGCATCTGTCCTCCGGAAAAGGTAAAGCAGAAAACTAACAGAAAGACCGTTCCCGATTTTATGGGAAGAGAGTTAAGGAACAAAAGTGTGCTTAATCTATTCTCTGCTGAATAGTTTCTAATGAAAAACTGTAAAACTAGCAAGTCAGTCACACCGCACAGTGCCCCTTAATGCTTGCGCAGAAAATGGGATGCTCCAGTTATTAACTCCCTCTGCTGTTCATAACTGTAAAGTCTCATTTTGGGCCTTATTTAGAGACACCTAGCAATGCTTTCCAAATTACACAGTAAGATTTTTCACTAACAAATTCTTTTAAAGTTTCATTTTGTTGTCTGCCACCAGTCACCTTCATTTAGAGATAGTGAGAAGAAGTGCAATAGAGTGACGGGGACCATAATTTTATATTGCTAATGTAATTTATTTTAAATGGTTTTCCATGCCTGAAGTCCATCAAAGTAGTGTTTCTACAGGCTAGATTCTTAATACCAGAGAAGTTAGCGTATTTTAAACTTTCAGCCTAGGATGCACTTTTAAGAGGAGGTCTTCTGCACCCACAAGCTCTTCATCAGCTAAGTCAGTACAACATCTTTTCCCATAAGAAACATGCAGAGGCAACCCAGAGAGCCAACCATAAGCCTGCAGAGCTGCCAGCAAGTTATTCTGGGGATGCTCGGATCAGCAGACAGCTTGTACCGCACTAGAACCTGCGCAGGCAGAAAAGGGCAGGGAAGGACAATTCTGCCACCCAAGCAGATGACAGCACGTAGATTAAGCACATGCAAGAGCAGTCATGCATTAGAGGCTCTCATCCACGTGCCCCTTAAAAACAAACAAACAAAAACCCCTCTTCTAACAGTTTTCTATGTCCATATCAAAACTTGTTTAGAAGTCATTTCCCCTTTGGGAACTACTGTTCCAGCGCACAATCAAGTTACCACTGTTCAACAAGTGACGGCGCACGGGGAGAACCGCAGCAACTGCTCAGACGCTTGGCTCTTTGCGGGCAGCAAGTGCAAGGTTATTCAACTTCGCTTCATGCTCTCTCGGTGGAAGCTAAATTTTTGTTGTCTTACCTTTGCTTGGGTTAACACTACCCAAATGGTCAGTTAACATGACTCAGTTGATATGAGGTAACTTGATCGTATAAGTCCAGCCTTTTAAAAAACATTTAAGGCAACATCATGGCTTTTATTTGATTAAATGCCAGGTCATAGACAATACTTTTCTTTGCATACCAGTAACGGGGTTTGCAGTATACATTTACCTGTCACACTGCTGCATTATGGATATTTCCTTTATAATCTCTTGCAGGTCAGATTCCACGGGAACTTGTTTAATTGCAACAACTTGACCCGTTTCTTTATGAATGGCTTTGAACACACTGCCATAGGAACTATGAAACAAAATATTAAACAAACACTGAATACAATATCATTTTAAAAATGCAAATGTTATGGGTTTGCTTTTTGCAAGTGCAGACATCAGCTAAAAAATTAACTATCCTGCTAAAAATATTTTGTATTTTAATGTAAATAATCAGTCCACTAGGTTCTAAACACTACAATAATACAAATAAGTCACAGCACACTGAGACGGTCAGAAATGAGCCAACCATCATTACACTGCCTATAGCTTTGGAAGGGCCATTTACAGAAATCCAAATACAATTTTCTCTTTTTCCAGCACACAGTACCAGCTGAGCACCAGTAAGAACTACAGCTCTGGTCAGAGAGGTTTGCTCATTCTTGTCAGACATTATCTGTCTCATTTCCAGCTTCTTTCCTTACAGCAGCCAGGCAGATTTACAACGCAGTTTTTTTCAAATGAACTGCTTAAGAAGGCAAACGTGTCACTCATCGAGCATTCCCATGCTGCTCTACCTTACCAAGTGGCACAATGCAACAGAAGTTCATTTCCACCACACAGATCTTCCACAAGAGGTACCAGGGATGAACGACAAAACCTCTTGAGTTCCCACAGAGCCCTATCAACTCCAGGTGGGCACTTTTCAACAAGGTTTTAACTCCCCACTGCTGAGCCATAAGCTACTGTTTGGATTAAGCTATCTTACTCTTGGGAAACGAATTCTTTCTTCTGGTACTAACTAAACACTGTCACTATGTTAGTACGTAACTTTGCAGTAATATGATCATGACAAAAGTGAAAAATCAGAGGCCACTGAACACATCCCCATTACATAGATTTATTCTCAGGGAAACATACATTGGCCACGTTGGAATAGAACACATACCCTTCTCCAAGCTTCTCCAATACATCAAATACTTCTTCAGGTTGTTTGGTTAAACTGTCTTCATCTAACTTCTTCAGCTGCCTGTATACGTAAGAATAGAGAAATTATTACATTCAATTTTATGGCAGTATGGGCATTGTTGGAACAGATTAATAAATAGCACTGCTTAAACATACACAAGGCTTAGCATAAAGTAAATTGATTATGAACTAAGTTTATTTCACCTGACCAGGGGACCTAATATTATTAGCATCCAAAAGCAAAAGAGGACTGGGAATTACAGAGAACAGAATTTGTCAGGCACACAAATCTACAGTTCCTCTTGGTGGAAAGGCATCTCAGAATGTATACGCTGGTGGTCAAATCCCAACGCAGCACCGCAGAGTCTTGCGGCTATTGACTATATCTGCTAAAGTTCAATATCTTGAATGGAAGGATACATACATACTAAAGCCATGCAAAAGGGAACATCATCTTCCCTGATGCCTTACAGTATGCATGGAATACATTTGTTGGGAGGAAGGAGGCAATACTGATGCTACCTGTACATTTTTAACATCGGAAGTTCAGATCTTAACCTCGTGGGCCTGGACACATACTAGGAAAACTCTATCTGGGGTAAGAAAAAAAAAAAAAAAAAGAGAAAGGAAACAGCTATCTGGCTCTCTCACGATATTAACACTGCTTGGTTCAACCCACTTTTAAGTGCATTGCTAACATGCTATGTACTGTGATCCTTCGCTTCGCCCCCGGTACAACTTTCAGGGTCATTCCGTACACAATGCAATGAGATCAACCACATTTGTTTCAGTCCACCGCTACCACACCGGAGAGCGGTCGACCAAGAAACCCCCTGAAATACCTGAGGACTACATAAAAAAATAAGTTCTGAAAGCAGAGTATTTTACTGTCAAACAAACAGTATCCAACAGCCCACAAACACACGCTCTTTCATTTTCACATGAACTAAAAAATAAATAAAATAAATCTGAAACAACAACAAAAACCAACACAAAACCCACCCAAACAAAAAAAAACCTCCAAACTCCCCACGCCAGCTCATACAAGTTTTGAAACACAGAAACTTGTTAGTCTGGGAGTTTTCAGAACTTACTGGTCTGACAGCAAGCAGTATAGTGTTTAAAATGAAACGTGCGTGGTCACCTGCAACTGCAACTACTGAAAGCTCTTACTGCTACTGTTAAAGATCACGACTCCAGCCGCAGGCATGCTAATTTTGATACTAAATATGTATTTTTTCCCCCCCTAATTTCCTCACAGAGTGAGAAACTGCTCATTGATCTCTGGCTATTATGCACAAAAGCCAAACAGGAGAAGCAGCTCACGCATGGAGTACATACAATGGCTTCCTGAAGCAAAGGAAACATTATAAAGAAGCAGACTCAGGAAGTGGTGAAATACTGAAAGTAGTCACTAGCTTCCCTGCAAAGATAAGTGTTAACCAACAGAACGTCACTTGTCCTTGTGAAAATGGGGAGCAAGGAAGGTGTGGGAAGAGGATAAAAGAGGAGGAAAAAAACAAAATATGTATCAGCGACCACACAAGTTGCCATTTCCAAGGAGCCCCAAAAGCGGCGATGCAAGAAGCAGATCCTTCTTGCTGAAGTTGAGACCTAAACGCTATTAAAAAAAAAAAAAAGTTTTTCACATACCCAAACACAATAACCAGACAACTACTGCGCTTCCATCAAACTACCTAGTTTCTGCTCTAACCCAGGAGCGCACAGTTACTCTGCCCTGTCTCGTTGGTCTGGCGCAGGCGCTGCTGTCAGACACGCTCTGCCTTTTTGCTGCATGTTTATACAGCACGGGCATAACAGCAACACAAACCCAATCTCGCTTAAGTTTTTACTCAGATCCAATCTGAATCGCCTTCCAGTTAAACACTGGCATAAGTAATTATACAATAAATACAGAGGTTTAGGTGGGTTTTTTTAATAGAAGATATGTTGCTGGTTTGTTATTTAACAAAAAGACTTGTGTCACTGAAGAGCAGAGCTGGCAGTTTCCTTTCGGCTGCCAAAAGGGCCCCAGCTGCAAACCACCGATAGCGTTCCGACAGACCGACGCTTCGTTCAGACCTCTGCCGCCCCGCTC